AAAAAAAAAAAAAAAAAAAAACCAAATTTCTCTTCTCCACAAAGAACTCTCTCTCCCTCTCTTTCTTTCTTTTTTTTATTTTTTTGAATAAGATTGCTGATACGAAAAATGTGTGGCCAAAACGTTATTGTTTGATATTTTATTTCGTGATAACTGTGTTGACAATTTTCCCTCCATTTTGTTGGAGGACGTAATTTCCCTTCCCTTCGTTTCTAGTCGCGGACATTGACCAACAGTTTCTAGTCGCGGACATTGACTAACGATCAACCTAACGGTTGAGAAACCATTTGTTTAACAAATACATATAAATACCAAAATTGTAAGTTTTGAACCAAATTTGCAACAGTCCTAATCGTACAGAACCATTTTGCAATATCCTCCTCTGTTTAATAATTGTGGAAAATCTCTATTCAACATTAGATTTCCAGAAATTATTATGCACATAGGTTATCTCGACAACCAACCACACCATAAGTTCGTAAATAACTAATACTTGAAAATCCTTGAGCACCTTAAGTCCAAAACCTACAATCTCATTTCAACATAAACTCATTGACCATAAGTAATTTATTAAAACAGCGATGATGCATAAAGCCACTAAATGCAACAAATGGACAAAACATTTCTCTTGAAAATCCTACAAAATCGACATTGTAAAATGATCGTGTAGGTGTGTATTGGCCAGATTCCAGCATTTGCTCCAAGACATCTCAATATCGAGCAAAATATCTCTACAAACAACAAAATCACTCGACGATAACAAACTACATTTTCCCCTTCTAAAACAATGCACAATTACCTACTTGGGGTCCCATCACCATTTGGAACAAATTCTTCTGGCATCAACTCCCAATCGACTATATCAAATGCTTCTAAAGTTCCAAGTAGCTAATGGTGGATCTGCACTAGATTAAAAGTCCCATCGATGCTAAATTTTGAAAAACTGAAACAGGCCTGGGCTTAAAAATTTGAAGAAAATAGGACCATACCCAGAAGTTCAATAACCAAGTATAACAAAATTGTTACTCTCACTGAAAAAAAGAAGTGGTTGCATTTCATTTTGCTAAGATCTTTTTAAGCTTAGCAACACAACTTTTGGTAGAAATATCAGTTATGATTGAATATCATCAAATTCAAATATGTGAAGCATTATGTTTGGTGAAATAGAAAACTTTTTAACTTAGTATAGAAATGTAGTTTTTGGATTGATGGATAACAAACATTTAAAGCAAAGAAGTGGCAGCACCTCTGACGCGTTAAGAGCTATCGTGCAATATGCGTTCCTGCAAAGAGCTGGTACAACATCAAACTATGACGTAAGTTAGTCAACAATCAACTGAGAAATCTTATCTGCGTAGCCCAATTCAACACACACTTGGGGAAAAAGGAAAAAAAGAGAAAGAATAAAGAAAAATTGTAAGGCTTCAAAGTTCACCCCCTTGAATAAGTTGCATACATCTAAGGGCTTATTCAAACAAAGGATTAATCAAATCACTATAACATGAGTATAACATTAAGTTAAAGGCTACATTTTAACATAAGCAAATAGATGAAAAACATCAAGTCAATACTTAGAAAAGTTGTAGAAAAGAAAGATAATTGCCATTGTTTCACATCCTTAAGAAAGACAAGAAGTAGCATGGACCAAGAATCAATCCCTCAAAAAGTTGTTACTGGCCCAAAATACGACATCATTTTGGAAATTGTTCAGCAGGAAATTAAATTGAAAAGTCATACATTTTTTCATAGATTCTAGTCTTTAGGCAAATCATAAGTTTGCTACAAGGGAACATAGACTTCATTTGCAAGTTTGCCCGACTTCAGAAGAATCAGCAGAGTCCAATCTATAATTTTGAAGCATTTTTGAAGAATCTGCACAATGGATACATAAATCATAAACGGCGAATAATTTGGAAAGCTAAAATAGTTGTTATTCCTTGATACAGAACAAACAAATGCACTGTAACAAAAAAATTATTGATTAATTTAAACAGAAAAATAGCAATGATTCACTTACAAAAGCTAAGAACTTCAACTATATCAAAGAAACACAGGTAATTCATGAGAAGGAAAAATATAATAGCATAAACATGAAATATGGGAAACTGATGGGCCATAAGAAGCATAACTATTAATTTAACCACTTAGAAAAAAATTAAAAAGTAAATGCAAAAATGTGGGCACGTTGGCATAATCCTATCAATTCCCTCTCTCCATACAACTAATCTGCACCTGTCCTCCATCTTCAACTATTGTTTGTCTGATTGATAGAGAGCAACCAAATCTTCATTCCACTTCTTCTCAGTAGAATTTCGCCAGAACAAAATAAAATAACAATAATCATAAAAAAAAATAAAACAGGAAGAAACCCAATAGTGCAAGAATATATTTAGGTTATCCTCCTAGATGAAGAAGTTCTGAAGCAAAAGCAATCACCCTAAACATGCATTGAAACATAGCAGCAACCAAAGGAATATAAGTTTAAACAGTTATCTTCCACTTTCTCAGGCATTACTTTGGAGTCGTTACTTTAAATTGTCAAGTAACATCAGGAGGGTGAATTACCAGGGTTATATTAGAAACTAGCCATTTACCACATCCAATTATACACTTCTTTATTAAAAAATTGGCTCATGTATGAGGTCCAACAATGTGATTGCCGAGACAAGAATCATAAAATACGATTGAAAGTTGAATATCAAATCTACACAGCATAATAGAAGTGGTATCCAAGACAAACTAATCCTTTCACAATTTTCGAACAAAGACCCACATTTTTAAATACTTATCTATGACAAAATGCCTGAATGTAAACATGCGGTCCGAAAAAGGATACCAGCAAAACGTAAATGTTAGGCATCTAACTATTATGTTTTGGCTACTATCTCATACAAATAGCACATGTGCACAGCTCATTAGAATTTACCTTAGGACTTAAATCACAAGTTCACAACAACAGTCACACACAATTTTAATTGCCTTAAACTCAGTAACAACAACTCCAAAACAAACAATGGTCTAGAGTTACTTGAAGTAGAATCAACATTAACAACAAGAACAGAAAGTAAGAATATTCACATACCTCAGCCTGCCTAGTGACCTTGACCCATGTAGGGTGCACCACCCTGATGTGGCCTATAACCACCTTGACCCATATGCTGCTGGCCACCATAACCTCCCTGAAAACCAGGTTGACCCCCATAGCCACCAGCACCAGCCTGACCTCCATAACCTGCATTGTTCATCATAGGTGGTGGGGCTCCCTGTGGATTGACCCCAGCTCCAATCCCTCCAAGCAAGTTTCCAATACCCAAGCCTGCCCCCTGAGTGGCCAACAAAGCTGCTACAGCCTGTCCAATAGCCTCAGGGGCAACCACTTGATTAAAGCCCGCGGCTGGAACACCCGGTCCTCCACTGGGCGCCATCAAGTGTCCCCCTGTGTGGCCCACACCACTGGCCCCACCATATTTCCCCTTCTTCGACGGATGACCATAATACCCCTGATGGTGGCCTTGGTTATGTTGCTGCTGGTTGTGTTGCTGCTTATAAGGCTGACCAAACTGCTGGCTGACGTTACCCTTACTGTGCTTGGGGCCATCCACCGCCCTCTGGCAATGAAGAGTCTGCCCCTCAAAAGTCTTGTGTGGCTCCTCCAGAGCCTTCCTTGCGCTTTCCAGGTTCTTATACACAAAAAGACAGAAACCTCTGGGTTTCCCAGTGTGTTTATCCAAACCCAGAGGCCCTTCTTCAATCTCCCCAAATTTGGTGAAGAATTCCAGAAGCTTATTAGGATCAAGCTCGGCTGACACGTTGCTCACGTAGATCTTCCGCTGAGTGTATTCAGAGGCAGGCGGACCCGAGACAGCAGCTGGACCAGGAACGGCCCCAGCCGCTGCCAGCTGGCATGAGGTCAGGCGACCATCAATCACCTTCTGAGGCTGCTTCAGGGCGCGGCGGGCCCCATGACGGTGCTTGAACAGGATAAAGCCATAGCCCTTTGATTTCCCTGAGATTTTGTCCTTGACCACCTTACAGTCCTCTATCTCGCCATACTGGGCAAAGGCAGATGTGATGGTCTCAGCACTGGCCTCCCAGCCGAGCCCGTGAACAAATATCTTGCAGTGGGAGGGGTCTGCGTCGGCTAATCTGTTCACGCTCTCAATTACATCCGGGTGTTTGGCCACCGCCTCTTTGATCAGAAGAGTCAGCTGGTCCTTGGAGAAAGGTTCGAGAAGCTTCTCGAGCGGCTCCTCCTCCAAGTCATCCTCCTCCTCTTTCTCTTCCTTCTGTCCCTCGCCATTCTCCGAGACATCAGAAGGCTTTTCAGTAATTTCAGTCGCTTGCTCATCACTCGCCTGGTCGGCGATGGCTTCGTTTTCATTCATCTGCACGTTGTCCGGCTGTTCCTCATTGCCGTCTCTCTCTTCTTCCGGCTCTTCTTCTTCTTCTTCTTCTTCCTCCTCCTTCACGGCTTCGTCTCCCGCTCCCTGGCCTTCGACTTCCATGGTTTCGTCTGGTTGGCGCTGTTCGGGCTCGGGCTCGGCCTCGGGCTCGGTTTGCGGCACGACTTCGGGCTCCTCAGGAGCTTCGGTGGCGCGGGTTTTTCGTTTCCTGGGCATGGTAATTGAGCGAGGAAGAGGTTTTGCTTTGCTTCGTTGAGGGTGGGAGCGCTAGGGTTTGAGGAGATCGACAAAGTGAAGATATTTTTTTGGGAGGATTGGGAAAGAGAGTGACGGACACAGAAAAGTACTGTGCATGTGTGGGCTATGAGAGCACGAGACTGCTTTTCATAACGGTCCAATTATTACAGGCTAAGGCAGTTGAGTGTCTATTAGCCCATTATTCTATCCTACTTCTCGGAAAAATGGGCCGACGAGGTTGAGGTCATGTTTGTTTATGAGATTTTTGCCCTAAAAATCTCAGCCCAATTTTTGCCGTTCAAATGGGCCTGAAAAAAATGGACTACTGTCAGCCTTTGACTTCATTTGTCTGCCATTATTTGAGCCCACTAATTTTTATGTAATTATTTTTTTTTAATTTTATCTCCATGCAGCTTTTTGGCAGCCTTTTTGAGAATCTCCTGACCATTCGTATAAGTTGGTCCGTATTTTTTGTCTATTCTTAAATAAAACATTTTAATAATGTATTTATTTTTATTCTAACTAATTAACATAATTAAAATAACAAATAAATTTGTACAATGTATTTTTTATATTAAATAATTTGTGCTTTTTATTTATTGATGTATTATAATTTTTATTTTTTTTTTTGCAATTTATATTAAAACGATACCATATGAATAAAAAATTAAAACAGCTCAATTTTCGACTATTCACTCATTAACTTACTCTTCTCTAATTAAATGCTCGGACCTCCGAAATACTCGACAAATATCGTGCCTCAATGGTCTACACTTCCCAACTCGATTCTCGTTAAACCGAAGTCACACGCGACCTTGTGGGGCCCACGTAAACGACTTTTCCTTAATTATCTTGACTAATATATAGTGCACCTTCAATTCCAGCCTCTCAATATCAATGCTCGGGGCCTCGAAATAATAAATAAACGCCACGAACGGCCTCTTCTCTTCTCGTGCTTTCTACAAAGCAACCTCACTAATGCTCGGCTCGCTTAACGAGGGACGATGGGGTTGTTTAACACAACTCATTTTTATTATATTCACCCGTGAACTCAATCTTCTCTAATTAAATGTTCCGACCTCCGAAATACTCGACAAATGTCTCGCATGACATCGTGCCTCAATGGTCTACATGTCCCAACTCGATTCTCGTTAAACCGAAGTCACACGCGACCTTGCGCGGCCCACGTAAACGGCTTTTCTTTAATTATTGTTTCACGTAATTATAATTACTATTAACAAAAAAAAAAAATAATAACTTAACTATACAGAAATAGGGAAAAAAAAGAAACATATCCACAAAATAACTTGAAGTAAGTTACATTGGAACATTATTATTATTATTATTATTATTATTATTATTATTATTATTATTATTATTATTATTAT